TGTTATTCCCATGTTATATAGCAGTTATATTCTGTGTTTGCTGGTACATATGTACTATGAAGTTCACCCCACAACCCAAACCAAATTTTAGTTTTAAATCAGAAATAGATTTGGGTTAGGTTACATCTTCTGGAAGTGGAGCTTCCACGTAGGGGGGGGGGCGGAACTCATTGCGTCCACGCATACACTTTCCCATCCACACAACAATTGTGGAGTGGACCTCGCTTTGCTTTGTAAAGTATATGCGTGGACACAGTGGGTTCCGCTCCCCCCTACGGAGGGGGCTCCACTTCCGGAAGATATAACCTAACCCAAATCTATTTCTGATTTAAAACTAAAATTTGGTTTGGGTTGTGGGGTGGACCTCGCTTTGCTTTGGTAATTTTTTGGGTTTTTCGGTTTTTTGGGGGGGTGGGGGTGATGGGGGATGTACTCCCACGGATTATCACTAACCCAAATTTCTGATTTAAAACTAAAATTTGGTTTGGGTTGTGGGGTTGACCTCGCTTTGCTTTGGTAATTTATGGGGTTTTTCGGTTTTTTTGAAAGGGTGGGGGTGATGGCGAACGTGCTCCCCCAACTGATTATTACTGTTGGAGTCACAAAAAAGAGTTTTACCGAGAGATCCGATCATATTTGTCAAAATTCAGAAAAGGCCTTATTCGAAATAATTACCCCGTTTTTGTCTGCTTTTTGGTCTATAACTTTCTTTTTTGAGCCTCCTCCGATTAAAAATTGTTATTTACATTATTCTCTAAGTATAAAAAGTTATCAAAAAAATTTGCAGCCCATTTACAGAAGCCGTGATTCTGAATAATTACCAATTAGAGCATACATAAAATAAAGTTTATATTTTTATCGGTTTCCTTTTTGGTCTAAATATTCTAAACATCTGTGCTATGTTTTTATTCTGCTAATTTTTTGTTAAATCTGCTTTTCTATATTTTAAAACTCAAAATTTGAAAATCTTTTTTATCTCTTAATAATAAAATGCTATACTTTATGTCTTTCAATAATTATATATACAGGTTCATTTGAAAACTTTCCACCCTGTTTATTTTGTGATCAACTAATTTTTGCGAAAAATGTTTTGTGCAAAAGTTTTATAACTTCAAGGGGGAAAGTAGATGATGCCATTGGTTTGACCTTGTATAGTCGTTTGAAGATCACGTGAAGGTTACTTTCAATTTCCTAAATGGAAACTCCCATCTTTCATTGCATATTCTTGTAGCTTATTCCGAGTGATTTTCGTAACACTATAATAAAGTTCTTTTCCATTAAGTATTTTCCGAGTTATGAGGCTTGAAATGTACAGTATCGCCAGCATCAGTATTATTCGAAAGTGATTTTTACGTGACCTTAACAATGCTATTATATTTAAAGTCACATTAACATTGCTACTTAATGCGCCATTTAAAACCCTACAACTTTTAATTAAAACATTTTTTTTTTAAATATTTTGCTTTTGAGATTTGAGATAAATGCTTTGCTTTCGAGATTTGAGAAAAATGCTTTGCTTTTGAGATTTCAGAAAAATACTTTACTTTCGAGATTTGAGAAAAATGTTTTAAATAAATATTTCAAATAAAATTTTTATTTAAAACATCTTTCTCAAATCTCGAAAGCAAAGTATTTTTGAGATAGGTAAGCTACAATAATATGCAATGAAAAATGGGGTTTCCATTTAAGAAATTGAAGGTGACCTTCACGTGATCTACAAACGACTATCCAAGGTTAAACCAATGTTGCCATCTTATGTCTCCCTCAAAATCATAAAACTTTTGTATGAAACAATTTTCTTTGTTGGGTGCAAAACAGGATATCTCTGATCAACAATGATGAAGAAAATCTGATAAGAATAGTCTATGCGTCTATCAATTTTAAAGATGTCATGATAACTAGCGGTAGACCCATTTCGACTTCCGTCGCATCTTTTGATCAAAATAATAGTCCTTTAATTGGAATGGAATTTGTTGGTTTTAATAAAAATGGACAAAGAATAATGGGACTGTGTTCAAATGGGTAAGATAGTGATACGCCCACATAGAGTCTTAATTAATATATTTTTTGTAAATAAACCGTTTAAAACAAATTTTTTACATTTAAATTAAAGAAAATTTTGATGACGTAAAAAACGGAAAAAATTTTTATATTTTGTATGTTTTTTTTTTACTTTTCTATATACAGAATATTATTTAAAATAAAAAAACTTTTTAAAATGTAACCTTAATATAATAAGTAATACATTGTATGATTATTTTTCTGAATTATTATTTTTAGCGGATTTGTGCTAATATTTGCGTAGTGGACAAATATCTCAGTTGGATTATACCCGAGAAATGGACTATGGAAGACGCCGCGACGGTTCCTTTATATAGCATATTATATAGCGTATATAGCACATGCTATTACGCTTTGTATTTGAGAGGTAAAATGAAGAGAGGTCAGAAAGTGTTAATTCATTCTGGTACGGGAGGCGTTGGTCAAGCAGCAATTTACCTTGCACTTTACGAAAGTTGCGAAGTATTTATAACGGTTGGGAGTGTCGAGAAACGAGATTTTATAAGAAAAACATTTCCCTCTATTTCCGAAATTCATATCGGAAACTCTCGAGACACGAGTTTTGAACAAATGATTATTCAGATGACGGAAGGTCGTGGAGTGAATATCGTATTGAATTCTTTAGCTGAAGAAAAACTGCAAGCATCCATCCGTTGTTTAGCAAAGGATGGTCGTTTTCTCGAAATTGGAATGTTTGATATGATTTCCAATAATACTTTAGAAATATTTGTATTCTCAAAAGGCATCAGCTTCCATTGCATAAAATTGGATGAACTATTTAGTGCAAAACAAGAGAATAAGATAATATTGTCAAATAAAATAATAGAAGGTATAAAGAAAAAGGCTATCAAACCGTTATGCAGAAAAATCTTTGGAAGGGATGAAATAGAAACTGCGTTTAGATATATGACTGCTGGAAAACATATTGGCAAAGTATGATCATTTTTTAATATACTGTAAAATGCAGAGAATAACTAGAATTAAAATACTAAAGTAAAAAAAAAAATCTCAAGAAATGCACATAGTTTTTGTTCTCTTTGTGTTATCTTTGATATTACATATAAATAGAAACTGTCCTTGATTTCTGTTTATTATATATATATATATATGTATATATTATAAAATTATTATATATGTATATTATATTTATAAAATATATTATAATATTGTATTAAATTAATATTATTTGCAGAACATAATAAAAATTCATAAAAAAGATGAACCCTTGGAAGCGCCTATACTTGCACATCCCCGGTATTATTGCCTGGAACACAAATGCTATATCGTTTTAGGTGGTCTAGGTGGTTTCGGTATAGAATTAATTGATTGGTTGATTTTACGCGGTGCAAAACATCTAATAGTGACTTCGCGAACTGGGATAAAAAATGGTTATCAGCGATCAAGAGTAACGTTATGGCAATCTTACGGTGTAAATATACATATCGTTACAGTTCTTGATACTTCGAGATATAAAGACTGTGAATCTATATTAAAATTTGCTGAAGAACAAGGTCCTGTGGATGCTATATTCAATCTTGCAGTTGTGTTAAGAAGTGACATATTCAAGAATCAGTCCCCACAAACATTCGAAGAATCCTTCATGTTAAAGGCATGGACGACGAAAAAGATGGACGAATTATCGAGAACAATTTGCACTCAGTTTCGACATTTTGTTGTTTTTTCTTCCATTTTTTGCGGAAGAGGTAACGCAGGCCAAACAAATTACGGAATGTCAAATTCCGTAATGGAAAGAATTTGTGAAAGAAGAAGGAAAGAAGGTTTACATGGTTTAGCTATACAGTGGGGCGCTATTGGTGAAGTTGGACTTGTTGCAGATATGCAAGAAGATATGCAAGAAGATGACAAAGAACTGATTTTTGGAGGTACATCGCAAAAAAAAATTTCCTCTTGCTTGGACACATTAGAAGTATTTTTGCTACAAGATCGGTCAATCGTAAGCAGCATAGTTGTTGCTGAAAAAAAAAATTCTAGCCAAGCAATGAATCCATTTAAAGCAGTTGTAAATATTATGGGTAAGTTCATAAGCAGTTTCAGTATAAAAAATTTGTGACAAAACATTTATACGAAGTAAATTTTTATTTAATGATGTTATTAAGAGTACATTATATTGATATAACAAAGTGCATTAAAGATATTATAAGAAATATAAGCTTCAATAGTTGTTACATTGTTTTAAAATTAAGCAATATCCGATTAAAATCATATCAAAATATTTAATTTTTAAAATAGGTTTGAAAAATCTAGATACAGTGGCGCCAAACGTATTACTGGCTGATCTAGGCATGGATTCAATGATGGCGGTAGAAATTAAACAGACATTGGAGAATGAATTTGATATTTTATTGACAGAACAAGATATTCTAAATCTCAATCTTGCTGCACTTAGAAAAATGACAAGTGCAACCGAGCAAGAAAAGAATTATGATGCTACTGAAGCTGTTACAAATAATTTGGACGGTGTCGAGGCATTGACACGAAAACTTAACGATTCTGATTTTAATCCAGCTATTTATGTAGAATTAAATACAAAAGAAGAAATTGCTGGAATAAAACTATTTCTTATACCAGGAATCGACGGATCTGCAGGCGCATATAAACGGATAGAATCGAAAATTAAATCTTTGGCGATGTGTTTGCAACACGGTGCACTTAATATGCCGGATGTTACTCGTTCAATAATGAAATCAGCAGCATTTCTTCTGCCGGTATGAAATTATAAGATCATCTATTTGACATCTTTATTTAAATTGCTGTGTATTTAAACAATAATATTTGATTGTACACACGCATTCGCGCTTTTTTTATATACTACCTCATATATGTTTATTTTTTTAGTATATAATGAAGAAAATGAAAGAGCAAGAAAAATTTTTAATAGTGGGTTATTCATTTGGATCCTTAATTGCCATTGAATTAGCAAGATTATTAGAAGCTAAAAATTTTGTTGGCCGTTTAATACTTATAGATGGTGCTCCTGATTGGGTGAAATTTTTGGTAGAAAAATTCTTTAATCATACTTTGCAACAAGAACTACAAAATGACATTTTACTTCGTTTCATGAAAATTTATCTCGAATCTGATAATAAAATGGTGAGTCAATTATCAAAATCACATTATGACTTTTTACTGCGGAAACGGTGTAACTGTGTTTACATACAATTAATATATATGAAAGAATATACAAAATAATTTATTAAAATATTTAAATATGATTCTAAAAATTTTATATGCACTTTAAAATGGTTAAATGTCTTTTATCATCTTATTTTATATTGTGTATTATAAATCACAGAAGTTTTGAAAGGCTACTTTAACATTTTATTGTGTAAGTAAAAATGATATTAATAACAGAGAATACATAAGAATTATATAATATTTACAATGATTGAAATGTAGTATGTTTATTATTTGAGAATATATACATATAAAATGGGTATCAAATTCAAAGAATAATTCTTGGTTACAAATTATTGCTAATAATTAAAACACAAAATAATCTGACTTACATAATCCAAAAATATAGAAGAAGTAATTAAGCAATAAGAATACATACATGTAGTATCTCCAGAATATAAAAATGTAATACAACTTTCATTTTACTGTCTCAATTTTAAATGTAGATTACTATTTTATTATTATTTATAAAAATACAATATTTACATTATTTACAGTCTGCGTCAGAGCTGAATAAGTGCAGTACATGGGAAGAGAAATTAGAACTACTTACTGCTCACTTTTCGGAGAAGATCAATGTATTAAGTGTTGAAAATCAAAAATTCTTATATACAACGATTTACCATCATATAATCGCTGTACAAGGTTATGATATATCTTTATTGCCACCCTTAAAATCATCTATAATACTATTAAAACCCACACTTAGGCCTATCACTTTTCCTGAAGAGGATTATGGTCTACATAAGGTAAATTTTTGATTAAAGAATAACATTTTATCATTTTTAAGATATTTCTTAAAAAAGAAATTACTTTTAGATTACTGAAAGTGCAGTGCAAATTCATTACGTACAAGGTAGTCATATCACAATGATTGAAATGTAGTATGTTTATTATTTGAGAATATATAATATATAAAATGGATATCAAATTCAAAGAATAATTCTTGATTACAAATTATTGCTAACAATTAGAAGACAAAATAATCTGACTTACATAATTCAAAAATATAGAAGAAGTAATTAAGCAATAAGAATACAGACATGTAGTATCTCCAGAATGTAAAAATGTAATACAACTTTCATTTTACTATCTCAATTTTAAATGTAGATTACTATTTTATTATTATTTATAAAAATAGAATATTTACATTATTTACAGTCTGCGTCAGAGCTGAATATGTGCAATACATGGGAAGAAAAATTAGAACTACTTACTGCTCACTTTTCGGAGAAGATCGATGTATTAAGTGTTGAAAATCAAAAATTCTTATATACAACAATCTACGATCATATAATCGCTGTACAAGATTATGATATATCTTTATTGCCACCCTTAAAATCATCTATAATACTATTAAAACCCACACTTAGGCCTATCACTTTTCCTGAAGAGGATTATGGTCTACATAAGGTAAATTTTTGATTAAAGAGTGACATTAAAGAGTAACAACATTTTATCATTTTTAAGATATTTCTAAAAAGAAAAATTACTTTTAGGTTACTGAAGGTACAGTGCAAATTCATTACGTACAAGGTAGTCATATCACAATGATGGACAAAATAGCATCATTTATTAACAAAGCATTCTAAAATAAATATCACTCTGTATCAATATTAAATTATTATTTAAACAATATTTTTGAAAAAACTATATTGTATTTAATGCTTTTAATCCTTGCAAAAATCGCAAAATGGCAGAAAACTTCCCTACTCGATCTAATCCACTGTATTTGCGTACGGGGAAACAGTTATTACCGGACACATATAGCATATCCATTTATATAAATAAATCCATCTTTTATTGTGTTAAACATTTTTAAGTGTTCAGATTTTTACAAATCTCATATTTTTTTTTTAATAAAAAAATATTTAAAAAAATATGCTTTTTAAAAATTCGAGTTATCCAAATCTTAGAGAGTGAGTTATAGCCTATTTGAGGTGACAAATTACACAATTTAGTGAGGCGACTTTCTCCCTCTCATTTTCGTTAAAAAAAAATCAGATCTTGAATTCGAATCCATAAGATCCATTATGCAATGCTATATATGACAGAGTTTCTACACAAATCTTGTAAAAACTTCCCTGAAAATTTCCTGATCTTCCAGATATTTTTGTTCAAAATTTCAAATATAAAGAGAATATTTGAGAACGCTTGTTGTTTATTAAAAAGTTAGTAACAGTTAAATTGTATGATAAAAACAAGTATTGCGATAATGATAAATGATAAATGCGATAATCTGAACTTCTTCGATTTGAAGAACCATATAAAATTTTATATTAGATGTATTATTTATTGTGTATGTATTATTTAAGTATTTAAATAAATGCATGAGCGTGGAATAGAGTCCTTTCCCCTATATCCCCTTCCCCCCAAAAAATTAACCAAATCCAAATCTAATTTTCATTTAAGATAGAGAGTAATATGACAAATATATTAATATAAATTAATTTATGTAAATATATATGTGATACAAAATAAAAGAAATATATTGTTGACCTCTTATTCGATACGGCTCTCGTTAAAGGCAGATACGCGTAAGGATCTGGTTTACCCTTTCTCTCAATATCTCCTCCGGCCTTCACCGCGCGATACTCCAAACCAAGTTCGCGTTCCACCTTTCTCGCTGTCAGCGGTCGGTGAATACCTGTGCCACCAGCTAAAATCAAAGAGATCGAAATTAAATTAAATTAATCAAGGTAGAATAATTTCTCTTTTAGAGAAAAAGATCGTCTCTAAAAATTTATCAAAGACTTTATAAAAAATTAAAGTCGAAGATTTTGTTGAGATATCTCGATATGTTGACGTTGACTGATTCTTTAAGCTCATTACATCAGACATGCTTTCGCTATATTTACATTTTTTGCCGGCGTTCTTCGCGGCTGCCACCGATATCTCATCCTCTACAAAATATATAAAATTATTGCAAAAGATATATCATTAGTACAATCCTGAAAAAAAAACTCTAGTAATGTCTTACCGTAATCGTCCTTTTCTGAATCATTCTGAAGAAAAGAAGCTTTCCTCTTCTTACTCCTCTCTTCTGTGTCACTATGCTTTTCATTATCATCTGTGATGATGAGGCGACCGTCTGGTGCGGTTTTGAGACCGTGATCCTTTAGCATTTTTATCGGAATCTTCGGATTTGTTACACCTGGTTGTGTAGTTGAAAAGTACAAAACTGAATAATGCAAATCTTTTTTCTCGCAATTATTGCGAGCAGTCCTACAAACATTAACTAGTTACACGAGATCTAATTAATTTTCTTCTTTTTTTCTAATTCTGTGTATCTAAACAAAAACACAGTTTTAAATCTCAGTTTAATAAACTAAAAAAAGGATAGTGTATAGAAAATCAATTAAGAAATTCGGTTTAATTAACTAAGAAAAAAATTAGAAGGCAGAGAAAACATTAATTGTACCAAATTCCATGTCGTCGTTTTCCAGCTTCTTCGTCCTTTCAAGCTCCCGTTTTTTCCTCTTCCCATTCTCAATCTTGTTGATGTTTTTCAGCCTTTTGTGTAGGATCACGTCCGAGACTGTTACAATACTTGATATCGGCCATATGCCGTACTTTCTTATAAATTTCGTAAAGATATCGCGTACCTTTTGGCGAAAATGACGCTTACAATCCTCGTTTATTTGCGACAGAGCGTCAATCATCTGTGTTAACGTCGGGGCTATGATGCTGAACGGCATCACATTGATGTATACCATTACATACGACAAAGCCGATTCTACTACCTCTCTTGTGGGACTCGTCAGAATCGTACAAACGTGTTCTAAGATCTTTCCGATAGTCTCCATGCCCAGAGAACGGTTGTAATGATAAGTGAGAGACCAGAGCCAATAAAGTAGCGCTAATGTATTTTTGTTCACCGCCTAAACCCACTATCAACATATCTGTATAATCCTTGAGATGCTCGAGATTGTCCAGGAATTTCTCAGCGATCATGTTGAGCAACTGATATGCCGTATTGCGACATCTTTCGTTTATATCCTTGACACCGAGTACGGCTTCCGGTACGACAGCCTCCAAGAATTTATGATTCTCGAGCTGCGGATGTAACTTGACGAAATGTATCAGACATCGTAAACAAGCGCCTCGACTCGTCTTAATCGCGTTGGTCGCCGATGTTATCAGTGTTTTCTGAATCTCGCGTCTATGCTCCCGCAGAAATTGTTTGCACACCTCTCGATCACTCCCGCATATCTCCTCTAAAAATCTATAGGCTTTCTTCTGCTCCTTCTGCTTGGTCTCGTCCTTGAGGAGCAGTACGCACATGTCGTAGTACTTTCTTAGCTTCTCGATGTCCATGTAGCCGATCAGCACTCTTATCAGATCATAAACGCTTTCCTTGAAGAAATCGTCCGTGTCGGGCTCATCAAGCTTGCTCAGCGCGCGTTCAAACATCTCGTTCGCCAGCTCGCGATTGTCATGTAAGTCTTGATCGTATCAAACGCGGCGGGACATTGCCCCTGCTCATCCATACCGCCCGGTTTCGTCATGTACAGGTTGAAGAGAATCGGCAGATAGTTCTTGGCGAAGCGAGCGAGCTCGGCGACGTCGTCGATGCACTCGTCTCGCGTCGCTTTTCCAATTAGCTTTCTCAGAGCCGCCATTACGAGTAACTTCAGATCTTTCCTGTCGCTGATTGTCATACCTAACAACTTGGCAATATTCTTAAAATTGTCCTTAACATCGCTGGCGTTGTTGCATATGCTCGGCAAGATTGACCAGATTTGCGGTATCAGAAATTCGTACGTCTTCCCTTCTAGACCTGCCTTACTCTTCTCTTCGCATATCAGGGCGATTAGCAGCAGAACGTCCTTGAAGGAGATGCTACTACCCGTTACGCAGTTTTTCAACAGCGGGATTAGCCAGCTCCGTTTCAGATTTATCGCGCCGCCGTCGATCTGTAGAGGGAGAATGCTTAACACGATCTGCAGTCCCATGGCTCTAATCGCAGCTCCAACGGCGTATTCAACGTCGCTGTTGTACGCAAAGTTGTAGGAATCTCGCAGTTCTCCCAAGAGCCTGACAATATCTACAAGTCCCTGAAGCTTTGTTTTGCCGGTTATTTGGAAGAGCAAGGCTACGAGATAAAAAAAATGATGCCAGGCTTCGAGGTATTGATAACTCAACACCTCGTGCATCAATGAGATAATCTGACTCAAGGTAGAACTGTACCTATCAATTCGCTCCTTTCTCTCGCGAAGAGGCGCCACGCATTCTTGTCGAATGGTCTTGGAAGTGTTCGAGCCAGTTATGACTTCCGTCCTGTTGGATAACCAGAGTTCAGTACACTTGTTTAACATTCTCGGTATAACATTATCCAATACCGTTGATCCGGCATTAAAGCTGAGGAAGCGTTCAACATGGTGTACACCAGAGTGCAATGAGCCTCTTGCATGACTGCTAACCACGCCAAAGTTGACTGCATCGGTTGCGGGTGGTTGATAATCATAAAGGGCTCTGATGATATCCGCGTTTTTTTGCAATGGTAACGTCGCCTCCGATGGCAACCTTGAGACAAACAATCCATGCAGTGTTTGCAGACAGCATGATGTTAGCAGTACATTTTTCAATATCATGATACTGAACAGACGTTCGCAGATGATCTTCACGTGCGACTTGGATAGCTGATGCATTATATCCTTCAACAGCGTAAGGATATGCAGAATAGTAGTGACCCCCAGCGATGATCCTGACTCATAGGCAGCGTTCAATTGCGCGATACAGTGCGTTGCGACTTGACCCGCGGCCGGATGTTGCTGAGGCGGCTTCTCGCTTTTCATTATATCGCTATTCTTAAGGATGACGCATATGCCGTGTTGGGCGGACTTGCGTACTTTGGGCTTGGCGTGAGTGATGAACGACAATAC